AGCAATACATATTGTATGCGTCTAGTTTGAGAGTTATACGGTTACGAAGCGTAACGGTGAGAATCTTAATTCAGGAAAACCTTAACAATGGAATACCGTCATTTGTATACATTTATGTCAACTTAAATCAACACATGTTTAGCCACTAACTCTTTATTAAGAATGTTTCTACAGGGTACGTTACAAATAAATACCAAAAGTCACTCTTTTTCAAAGCCCCTTTAGGGTACAAAGGAAACGAGAGTCATAGTTGAGCTATTCTGGAGTTAACATACTGCTGTCTTAAATGAGATAAATTAAAGGCTATGGTGATGTCATTTTATTTGTATTATGACGTTGTATATAATAACATCATACTAACAGTTAACAAACTTCTTGTTTGATATTAAAATATGGACTTAATTTAGAGGTTAGGGACATTTATTCAAAATAAAGAAACATTTTTATCAAAGGTATATGAGTTTACACAAAATTTGTAATGACAAAAACAAAACAAAAACAAACAAACACAAACACAAACACCGACCTGTAGCTTTTAAAGATGGTGTCTGTATGAGTGTGATAATGTGTAAGGGTTACATGTACTTCGATCCTGAAATAGCCTAACACCGTTTTAACTCTCAGATGTATGAAGACAGAGCACGTTCGGAAATAGAAGACAATTTTAAAAAAACGATTGTAAACAGTGAATAGAGTGTCTAAAAAAACACGTTGTGCAATGGGTCGAACCTTTCTGCCATTAACCGACGTATTTCCGTGTCACCTGCAGTTAACCCATATACAACTGTCTGGTCCTAGACGACCGACTGTGTTGTAGGCCGTTCAGAATATTTGAATTACATTCCTGGAAAACTTGAGTATAGTGATTCATGGTCGATCATTTTCCTGGATATAAATCACAAGGTAAACTGGAAGCTAAAAATATCTTTTTTCGGAAACATTGAAAAAAAATGAAACGCTCTGTTCTTGACGGCGTTTTGACCTCAGTTGACTTTGGGTCCTTATTTTTGGATGTGAATTAAGCATTAGGAAGAATAATCATAAGTACATAAACCATATTACAGAAAATAAAATACAGCTACTAAAAACATAGCTGATACGGGTATATAATGAAACAATACTAGGTGTATGTTTTATCTCTATTTTTACTGTTGCGCTACGTGCTTTCGTAGTCGTATTCGTCTCTCAACCCCCAGCCACCAAAGGAAGACAATAGAAAATAGAAAAAACACTGAAATATTTGACGTCAATTACATGTAAGGACATATATTCTATATTACTTATTGTCAAGGAATTTGGTCAAGTTTAATACATGCATGTACTTGTAGCTAGAAAATACTTAATGAACCTGAATCATTGATGACCAGACAATAGTACTAATATCAGTGTGTTTTTTGTTTCAGCCCTAACAATACCTCGTACATATCAAAAAAAGTAAATATCGAAATAGTAAACTTCTTCCTTGTAATCTTATTGTTCTAGCTTATTTAACATAATCATAACGGCCATCTTTGTATTCCATATCGACTGTGTTATTCAAGTAATATATTTCAGCAATATCAACAGGTAAATTCCTCCGCATTATTGTCACCATTTACTGCTGCAAATGTCACCGGCAAGAAAAAAGCACTAAACGGAACATTTCCCTTCTAGCTACATATGCTGCATTAGCTAGTATACTTTCTATAGCCATCAGTCAATCGATTTCTACATAAATCTTATAAGATCGAGTTTCACAAAATGAGGTTTACATAAAAAAAGTCAAATGTCACTGTGAAATTGACAAAACATTTTGCAAAAACCTATTCTGATTTCATTTCACTGATGTCGTTATGTGCCCTAAAATGTACCTTTTGGGACATATTTATCTATGTTTAATGATGATTAACCTGTTAGAAACTTTTCATCGTTTTTAAGTAGTTGAGTATATCTATATATATCAACGTGAAAAGGTAATGGGTCACCTGACGACCACGTGGGTTTCCTCCAGGTACTCCGGTTTCCTCCCACATAAATACCATCTGCGCGCTTCCATCCCGCCCACCACGAGTGATTAATGTTTTTAAAAACTTGATTTGTAAGTGTTTCGAAATAGAATAGAATATATTATACTGTAAAAGTCTGTGTACTCGTTCCATTGAACATATCGTACGTATGATATTGGAGGTATTGATCGCTACAATGTAATACGTGCGTTCTCTATCATAGTTATAAGATCCAATATGAAATATGATGAAGTCATATATTTGAAATGAAAATAATAGCACGTAATTCTTAAGATTACAAAATCCAAACGCCACTCAAAAAGATGAATGAGGAATATATAAATACATCTGTATATATCGATATATTTACATCTGTTGGGCGGGATGGAAGCGCGCAGATGGTCTTAAGGTGGGAGTACCTGGAGGGAACCCACGTGTTCGTCAGGTGACCCATTACCTTTTTACGTTGATATATATAGATAGACTATTCAGCTACATAAAAACGATGAAAAGTTTCTAAAATGTTAATCATCATTAAACATAGATAAATCCGTCCCAAAAGGCAAACGTTGTTTAATATTATTATTGAAACTAATCAAACGTTCCAGGTTTGTTATTGTCTAACTTTATCACATGAATAGGCAGAGGTTAATAAAATATGAACATGTCCATATCATACCCGAAATCACAATCATATTGTCATGTCAGCCTAAGGGACCGGGACTCTAGGACTGATATGGGTGCTATTAAATGAAACCAGAGGAAAAACAGATATGAAGCTTGCTGAGCGAATGTGGCCTAACCAGATATAGCGTTATGGCGGCTAGCATTACAATGTTTTGCACATGCAAAACAATCTCTATTACAGAAGAGTATATACAGATGTGGCTTTTGTTATACTAAATATATACTTTCTGTACAAGCTTTATTCTTTATTATCAATTAGTTAACGTGCTCTTTTTAAGTTTTTTAATTATATCGCAAGAACTTTAATTGCCTCCCTTGGTTGCTTCTTGCAGGAAAACACGTTGAAAAGTATTCATATATCGAAAATCCAAATGGGCATATGAATTTAGAAAGATGCTACCAAGTATATGCATTCACAAAGAAAAATGAAATAAATAATATAACTGTTACAATTTTACAGACACATATGAGATCGGTTGTTTTTCATAAGGAAATATAACTTATACAGTAACTGGAGAAAATCAGAACTATTCATATTGCTGTTTGATTAAAATGTGCTGTTTGGGAGTTTTATTTAATTCGAAATGCACGTTTCATGTCGTATTTATTGATGAACGTTAGTTTATGTTAAACCGATACTCACTGTATGATCATTTTATCCGTATAAGTCGTGAAACGGTATATCAATCAATCAATCAATCATTTCGGCCTCATAGCTGGTCACATTCTGTTTCTACGAAGACGGATACGATCATGCTATATCACCTTTATTTATCTATGCAAAGGTTTTTTTGTCAACATAAAATTATTTGATCATACAGCAAAATAATTATTAAGAACGAAGAACAAAGTCATCCACGCACACATGTATCTATCACACCGATTCAGGCAAGCAATCTATCGCAATTTGTACCTACAACGGAAGGTCTTTTTTAATTCTCATCATGAATATGGCGTTGCCTGAACGTCATAACATCCACTTTCTTGTTCGCCGACGACCTTATTGAATTGGATTGTTTTGTAAGTTAGCGAGGTTGTACAATTAACCCACGTTTTGCAGAGAGACTTGATCGAAACCTAATTTTTCTCGCCAGTAACTATGATTAGACTTATCGCCCTCGGATTGTCACGGTGAATGCTAATGAAGGTTTTAATCTTCAACAACAGAACAAAATTAATTGAATGGTTAAATCAGTGCCTACGCTCGGTGGTGTCTATAGCGTAACATTGGAACAAAGTGTATAGTTAGGAAAAGTAGAAAGATCCCTTCGTTAACACCAACCCTGATAGTATGTTAATGATAGCAGAATGTTTTTTCGTGAACCTTTCGTTAGTTATGTTTTTTTTGACATTGATCCTTCTTAGGTGATTTCCAAATAAAATGCATAGGGTATACGTAAAGGTTACCTCTTTACACATAAATACACATACTAACTTACTACTTTTATTTTGAAAAATAATCTACAAACCTATCTGTAGATACTCGATTCCGGTTCGGGAAAGGATAAAGGTAAGTGCCAATCGTTCAATTAACATAAAACCGTGAAAAATAAAAGAGATGTCATTAAATCCCGTATTACTGATAAATCGCTATAACAGACAATGTAATTCATGGATAAATGTAAATGTTCTTACAACAGCGCAGTATCATGTTTACTATGTTTACTATGATAAATATGTGTTTGATTTAATGTAATCACATATTAGAGGGGAAAGTGCTGAAACAAGTCTATTGGTACAAAAACAACCAGACGTGCTATTACGTGTATCAAAGAGGTTACGTGCACGAAGAAAAAACACTAATACAAATACAATATCATGCTTAATTTGAATGTGTTCTCCTGCTAACTATTAAAGCATCATTTGTAAAATATAAATCCGATAAGGATCTTTGAGAAACACCAAAAGTCTGAAGCGGTGTTCCTTATATTTGGCAATACATTTATGCATGTATCGTTTCTTTGTAATAACGCTTATGACAAGACATAATCGTTAGTTTTAAAACGTTTTAAGCTGCTTACATTTAAGCAAAATTCTACCTAATAAATCATGACGTTAGTTTCCAATTAATCCTTTCTTATAAATAATATATTATCGATGGATATAAATGTTGAAAATATTTGAAAATCAAAAAGATTATTCAAAAGGTCTTAAAACAGACATACGTTAATTAAAATGACTTATTTCATATTTAAATATCATTTGAAATTTCCATAAACAAAGTACAAATTGGTGACAGTAATTCTCTGATTAAACATCTTTTTGATTGAAATGAAATTCTGTGTAGCATAACAGGTATAAGAAACATTAAAGTGAATTGATTCTTACCTTTCCACACTCACAGCCGACAAATTAAGAATCGAAGCAGACGCCGATAACATTTCTACAAATCCTGAAAACTTGCAAAGAACATCCCCAAACGTCCAGTGGTCAACTACATAGCGAGCTGTCTCGTACGGGACACATACAACCAGAAACAACATGTCAGCGGCCGCTAAACTGACCATAAACGTGGATGTTACACTACGAGCTTTTCGGTCACCTAAAACTGCAAAAATCACCAAGATATTCCCAATGACACCCATCAGGAATGTCAACCCGTAAACAGTTATTGTTGGAATAAAGTGAGGCTCTCGTACCCATACTTTTCTCAGATTTTCCAATTCACCCGGGTACTCAAACCTGTTATAAGCCATGTCTTCGTATGAATCGTAGAATCTTTGTAATTCGTCGTTAAGATTTGGGGTGGTGAAACTGGTCAGGTTCATTAGAGGGTTTGTAAAAGATTGACCATCAATAGCACCGGCGATCAGCGTTGTTCCCATTGCGCCTGCTTACAGCGCTTGATAAGGTGCTTACAATACCATCCATTGCTGGCTGATTCTGTTCTCAGTAGGTGCTGATCAGCACTGCTGTATCTTTAACGCCACCGCCTCGCATTTCGCCCTATTGATCCCACTGAGCGTTGTAACGCGCAACCATTGTCTTCTCATTATCAAAGCTGTGATATAGGTAATGAATCGAATGCTGAGTAATAATACACATCAATTTCGGACGATTGCTTTGCAAATATCCGTAGTGCTGTGTCTATTAATACAGAACTTATCTAACACACGAAAATCCCTTCTAGAAAAAGTTTTTTTTCTCTGTAAATATACGTAAAAATGTTACAAAATTAGTCTGATTACTTACTTTGTACTTATAAATAATCTGGTGTCACGTGTTTAGATATTAATGTTGAAATATAAAATATTTACACACTCTCATACAACATGTTTCAGTATGCGGCAAGCTAACACGGGTATGTGTCGAACATCACACAGCAGTTGTGTTTATGGAAATGGCTACACTGTCATCTATTTCTCTCGCGAAAATAACAGATAGTTTATAAATACAAATACGGTATGTTTTTCTACCGTTGGCTATGCTAAGAGCGATAACACACCTTTTTATCATTTGAAGCTTATTTGGGAATGTAATCAAGAAATTAAAGCAAACTTGTCTCCGTTGCCCCCTCTGGCCGATCGTGCTCTATCACATATGGGCGTATGAAGATGCCTGGCGACAATAGAATTGTAGGATGTGTTCGTCATGATATTATATACCATGGCCACGATTATTGCTTGCAAGACAACTTTTGCAAATTGTAAAATGGAGTTATACAATGTATTACATTTATCGAATGACGTTTAATATAATATGACAGTCATGAGAATTTAGAAGACACAGAGATTAAAGTAAAGCAATGATGAAGTGGACTTCGGACAAAGTGCTCTCCGAGTAATGACATATTCTTAAACACATTTTTCCACCCGTGATGATGACTCACGTTAAACAAAGGACTGAAGTTACATGTAGGACATGATCTGTAGTTATAAACTGATCATCTCTGAAACTTGATATACTATGGTTTACTGTTATTACCCTTCCATCACCATTATATTAATCGTGTTCACACGATGTCCACAGTTATGGCATCATTACTCAGGGGTTATAATGAAGACGTCAACGCATTTGGTCAAATCGTTATCCATTATAATATTTTAAAAATATTTTGATAAAACATTGCTCTACGTCTTAAGTGTGGAGCTGGTATCAAACAGCCATTAGCCATGCCTACATCCTGGACAGAACATTACAGTGATATCTATCTCAATTGATATCTTTTGACGAATATTATTTGCAAAATTCGTGGAAGGATTACGGATTGTTTTCAGATGCATGTCGACTGAAACATGAAAGTCTAAGACATAAGTAGAGGTTGATGTTTCCTGTTCTTACCAGTCAACCATTACGTGAGAGGGAGTCATCAGGAAGCCGTCCACTATCCAGTCGATCAACACATGCAGAGCTGTTTGACACGCAATCGAATTCCTAACAATAATTCAAATGTGATTTCTGTATCACACTCCGTACTGAATAGAGGGCTATAACTGTATAACAACACACGGCTGGTAGATAATGACACTTGTGATGATGCCAGTTTCAATTAACAAACTGTATATCAAACGTGGTATTTTTTCATCGAGAAACAACTGTTTTTATATATGTATTTTTTACTTTTTGCAATCGATGGGGAATTGCTTAGTAATTTCAAACTCAGAAATGCATGAGGTTATGTATATAACATTTTATAAATGTAACAGTAATAAACCACCTATATGGTGGTTTCTTATCACCTTTCTCTGTAGCCCTGGTCTAGAAATGTTTAGTCTTGCACTTTAAGCGGGTACACCTGGTCAAAGCAAGCCTAGCAACATTGACGTACTCCAAGGAACTAGGGTACTGTGTATTCTTTTTCTAACTTTTAATCTTGCTCTCACATTTTATTTTATTTTGCAGAAGAATAGAAAAAGAGAAAAGTCTTTTCATTGAAGGACAGTGTGAAACAGTGGTTAGCCATTTAGTCTCTTGTTATTGACTGGGATAGAATTTAAATCTGAAACTTATTCGAGAGAGTACTGGATTAGTAATCAGTAGCATGGGGTTCAACTTCTGTCGAGATAAACAGAAGAGGAAAAACATCAATAGATTAGTGTCAAAAAATATCCTTTGATATAAAATCAATAAAGCTGTGGGAAAGTATGACTAAAGAGAGACTAACATTGAAACCCTTGAAAACGTACAAGGAGAATTGGACCATGTGTTCCGGAATGGAAAGCGTCTTCTGCTTCAACGACGGAAGTTGCTATGTAAATCTAGTTTAAAAATAAGTAATATGACGTATGCATCACAGTTAGAACTTTAGTAGTGGCAAAATTACAACAGGGTATAATGGGCATATTTAACAACAATGAGCTCTACATGTATAGCAAATGAACAAATATCATGTGTTCCTCATAAGAGCATGATGGCGACCATAACACTTGTGCAGAAGAAGCTAAAGCCACGAGAATACAGCATTACCCCAATAAAACTCGTAGGCGAATCGAAGATCTCCGGAGTTAAACTTTGCTATCATCGAATGCTATAGCCATTAATGTGTAAGCTATCAATCACGGGGAAACAAATAACCAGAAAATATTTCTAACTTTATGGTAGACACTGGAATCTCATAGGTAGAAACTGTGGTTCGGTTTGATTTTATTGGGTTAATTACTTATGTTATTTGCCTCCGTATGAGTAATGCATATGTGTGTGTTGGAGGCGGTGTGATGACATATTTGCCTCCCCGCGAAGATCCTGTTAACAACAGCACAGCGAACGTCATATGGACCAACGAAGAAGACAGTTTTCTGTTTAATCAATATAAAGGCTTACTTTACGTAATATAATGGTACATGTACCTCAAATGAAGGGAAACGGTATTTTGACATATTACATATGGTCTGGTTTTTCTTGATTCTTATTCACTTATCCTCGGTCTCAGGTTAGCCGATATATAGCATATCGACTTAATGTTTTATGTTTCTTTTTGCACGTGACCATATCGGCTTTATGTTTCTAAATTTAGAGCCGGATATGTTGTGTAGAAGTTTTTACAAATAGGTTTCGGACTTGCTTGTTATTGGAAGTCTAACGTTAATACAACTGCTCAATTAACGGTTTGTAACAAATTTATAATCCCAGTATTGTGTAAGAAACAACACAGAAACTTTCACCTCGCGAAATGCAGATGCGACACAGTAGAAATTTGCAATTTACTGTACATGCATATCTTAATGGAAGCACGTTTCAAGATATTTAGCAAAAGTGTGCTTAATGAAATATCCTTAATATATATGCTACAAATCTTAAGAATATGATGAGTTTTTCCCACGTAAGGAAATAGCCGTACATCCTAAATAAATATGGACATAACCAAAGGTTATTGTCTTTTATAGGTTACAATGATGAAAACCGATTCCCGATCAACAACGAATACATGTCTTATAGGTAACTAATGAACCTACAACTAGAGCTAATGGATTTCCTTTTAAATCAGTAGTGACGTGTATGTCAGGCAGAACGTTTCCGAGATACGTCACACAGGGTATGTCCACAAACGAGGTCTGATTACAAGAGCTAGATCAATGATAAGACAAAGAAGTTATTGTAGAAGACACAAGTCTTAAGAATTACGCTGTATACTAACAGCAGGCTGTTCAGCACTCTCTGTACATTAGATACTGTGTACAGATGATTCAGGAGTTGAATGGTCGAGACTCATACTGCAAAATTCAAAGGATATTATAAGTCGTTCAACTTAAAAATTGTATCACGAAATGCATTCTAATAACAATGTTCTACGTCGGAAAATAGGAAAATTCTGAACAACCGAATCTGGTAGTTTTGAGATGCTTGTATCACTCAGAATTGATTTTAATTCGAATAATTATCGAAAATTGAAGTATGATATAATGTATTTGGGAGGTGAGCTATGAAAACAAATTGTAATTTATTTTTCAAACTGAATTCCCTAAAAAGATAATCCAAGTGGCTCCTGACTTATCTTTTGTAAACCAACGCTGTCGATCATTTGACAAAGTAATTAAAGAAGTCTACAACTCATGATCATTGTTAAAATTGTACCTGCCCCTTTAGATTTTTGTTCTAAAATCATAAAAAGATGGACTAGCCTATTGTTGTTTTAAAAATTAAAAGGACCCATATCATATCGAGTTAACTAAACATGATCAACAACATTCATTCGTTTGCTTAGCAAATCAAAACAGTCTAGCAATTCACTGAAAAAACATGAAAATGGCATGATGTTTTACCCAGAATGGCAGTGGAACTTTCTAGTTTAGTTTAATATATCTTAGAATAAATACCAAGTTATGAACCCAGTGACCATGTCACGCGATCAGAAAAAATATGAAAGAGACCAGAGGGTATTTAATACGAAATGAAATACCCTTTTGGAATAATCAACTTTATGTATGAAACATTAATATTGCTTTCGAAAAACAAATCAATCACAGATATATGGATTGGTTTTTAATCTGATTTTTCCGATCAGCTTTCTTGGTTAGCAGTTCTAGCTCCATTGCGACATAATGGTATCATTATTACAATTATGTTATTATATCCAATTTAGTATTTGTGTTATCCTCGGGGTTTACAAAGCAAATCTGACAGCAGCTCATTTCGCAGAACTTATCCTGTCTCATTGACTTTTTTTCGTATTGGCGTTCAAGTATTTGCTTTTTATTTGCTGTGATGTTAGAAATAAATCTAATGTCAAGATAGCTTATCTTCATGTATATTCACAAAAAAAGGTAAGCAAATAATGGGATTCTAGCGGAATGAATATTTAAGTGCATATATATTATCATGGTGAATCAGAGGTAAATACTAATCGTTTATGCTTCCTGCTGTTTTGTAAATCTGTTTACCTGAGACA